CTGTCCCTTTATCATGGTACCCCCCACCCCCGTGGTGTGTGTGTGTGTGTGTGTGTGTGTGTGTGTGTGTGTGGTATGTGTAGTGTATGCACATGTATCTGTGTCAGCCACAGAGGACAGAGGACGTTGGGTGACCTACTCTATTACTCTCCAACTTATTCTTTTGAGACAGGGTCTTTCACCACACACATGGTGGTGCACACCTTTAATTCCCAGCAGAGGCAGGCGGATCTCTGAGTTCAAGGCCAGCCTAGACTACAGAGAGACAGGGTCTCTCACCTGGACCTAGGCTAGTGGCCAGCAAGTCTCAGTGATTGTCTTAGTGACTTTTCTGTTGTTATGATAAAACACCATGACTCAAGCCGCTTCTGGAAGGAGAGTTTATTTGGGATTATGGTTCCAGAGGGATGAGAGTCCATCCTGGCATTGATGTGGTGGCAGGCGGTAGACACGGCTGTAGGAACAGCTGAGAGCTCACATCTCAAAAGCACAGGAAGGAAGGAGAGAGAGTGAACGGGGGAATTGAGTCTTGGAAGCCTCAAAGCCTCCCCCAGGGATGTCTATCCTTCAGCAAGGCCACACCTCCCAAACAGCACCGCCACCTGGGGCTCGCTCCAGACTATGAGGGACATCTCATCCAGACCACCCCAGTGATCCTCCAGTCTCTGCTCGGCACAGCACTGTGGTGACAAGCATGTGCAGGGACAAACCTGACAATGTGGGAATCTGGGGATTTGAACTCATGTCCTCCTGCTGTAGAGTTAAGTGCTCTTTCCTGCTGAGTCGCCTCTCCAGCACATGGCATCCTCTCCTGTCAAAGGCCCTCCCCACCGCAATTCCCCAAGCTCGCTTGTCTCACAAAGCCAAGTCCCCGTGACAGCACCATCTCAGATCCTCTGACTTTGAGGAGGACCAGTTCTGGGGGGCAGTTCTGGGTGGTTCTGCAATACTAAAAGTGGCTGGGAGAAAGACAGCAGGATCTTTAGTCACCCCACACGTGAAGAGTCCTCTGAAGGGAGCTTCCAGGTTGGGCCCTAGACATCCTTATGGACCCAGAGTCATGAATTCTTTGTCTCAACTGGGACTGGCCCCTTGTCTGCTTCCCCCAAACCAAGAGAATCCATGTTTGTCACCAAATTCAGTAATCAGTAGTTGGGCACAGGTGTGCCTTCAGGTTCTGCTTGGTCTCCTGTGACCACTGTAAGTTAAACACAAAGAAACCTCTTGCAGCACTCTGGATCAAACCCGGGCCTAACGTATGTTGAGCAAACATTCTATTGATGGCCACACCCCAGCCCCTCACTGGGGGATTCTAGGCAGGTGCTCTACCACTGAGCCACACCCCAGCCCCTCACTGGGGGATTCTAGGCAGGAGCTCTACCACTGAGCCACACCCCAGCCCCTCACTGGGGGATTCTAGGCAGGTGCTCTACCGCTGAGCCACACCCCAGTCCCTCACTGGGGGATTCTAGGCAGGTGCTCTCCACTGAGCCACACTCCAGCCTCTCACTGGGGGATTCTAGGCAGGTACTCTACCACTGAGCCACACCCCAGCCCCTCACTGGGGGATTCTAGGCAGGTGCTCTACCACTGAGTCACACCCCAGCCCCTCACTGGGGGATTCTAGGCAGGAGCTCTACCACTGAGCCATACCCCCAACCCCTCACTGGGGGATTCTAGGCAGGAGCTCTACCACTGAGCCACTCCCCAGCCCCTCACTGGGGGATTTTACTGCTGATTTTACATCCCTACCCTGGAAAAGACTTCTGTAAATCCAGGTAACTTCCTATCTATCCTGTGACAGAGTAGAACTGTGGAGTTACCCACCATTTTACCTATGGTGTGCTCTGATATTATGATACTATGTAACCACAAAAGATCATTCAGTGAGATCCTAGGCGGTGCTCATCTTCTGTGATGCTGGCAATTTCCTTACTTCTGAGTGGTCTTGATTATTGCCCCCCACTCCTTTAAGATGTCTAACATAGTGAGGCTGGCCTGGAACTCTGTGCTGACTAGTTTTATATCAGCTTGACATAAGCTGGAGTCATTTGAGAGGAGCGAACCCCAGTTGAGAAACTGTTTCCATAAGATCAGGCTGTAGGCAAGCCTGTAGGGCATTTCTTAACTAGTGATTGACCCGATAGGGCCAAGACCATTGTGGATAGTGGTTCTGGGTGCTATAAGAAAGCAGGCTGAGCAAGCCATAAGGAGCAAGCCAGTAAGCAGCACCCCTCCACGGCCTCCACATCAGCTCCTGTCGACAGGTTTCTGCCGTGGGTGAGTTCCTGCCCTGACTAACGCGATGATGAACCATAAGAAGGAAGAATAAGGGAACTCAACTCTCTCCTCCCCAAGTTACTTCTGGTCATGGTGTTTCATCATAGCAATAGTCACCCTAACCGAGGCCAGCTTTGAACTTCTATACTCTCCTGTTTCCACTTCCCAAATAATGGGATTCCAGGTGCTAGCCCTTTTTGCAGTGCTGGGGAATGGAACCCAGGTCTTCATGCATGCTAGGCTGGCCCACATCCTTCTCCATTCTTCTTTTTAGGGGGACATAGGATCTTGTGGAGCTGGAGTTGCAGGCATGTATGGGCTGCTTGATGTGGGTGCTGGAACCCAAAGTCTGGGCCTCTGAAAGAGCAGTAAGTGCTCTGAACTGCTAAGCCGTTTCTCCAGACTCCCATACACAGACAGCTTTCCCTCCACCTCATTCTGCATTTTTGAAAAACCAGACATGGCTTTCTGGAATGATGCAAACATATTTTTGACCTAAAGTGGGAATGTACTTCGTGGAGTCTGGCCAGAACTGGAATTTAGAAAAGGATTTAAATCTCCTCTATCAGTCTAGTGGTTCTAGGCACGTGACATGAGGTCGATGGCATTCTCTATTCCTTTGAGGTAGGATCTCTCCCTGTACCCATAGTTTTTTTGTTTTTTGTTTTTTTTTAGATTTACTTTATATTATTTTGAGACAGGGTCTCACCGTGTAGCCCTGGCTGGCCTGAAACTTATTATATAGACCAGGTTGGCCTCAGAGTTGCAAAGACTTCATCTGCCTCTTCCTCCTGAATGCTGGGATTAAAGGTGTGTACCACCATGCCTGGTAAGATTTATTTATTCTATATGTGTGTATGAGTGTTTTACCTACATGTAAATATGTGTAGCACATGTGTGCCTGGTGCCCATGGAGGTTAGAAGGGTATCTGATCCCTTGGAACTCAGAGTTACAGATGTTTGTAAGCCACCATGTGGGTGCTGGGAACTGAACTGGGGTCCTGGGCAAGAGCGGCCAGTGCTCTTATCCACTGAGCCATCTCTTCTGCTCCAGGGCACATGTTTTCTTGACTAGGCTGGAGGCCATCAAGCTCCAGGTATCCTCCCATCTCCCCTCCCCTCTGAACTGCGGTTACAGGTAGACATGGGATACCTGGCTTCTAACATGGGTGCTGGGATTCAAACTCTGATAGTCATGATTGTGGGGCAAGTGCTCTCAACCTCTGAACTACCTCCCAAGCCCCAGACCTTGTTTTCAGAGACAGCACTCAATGGCCTTGAGCTTGCCAATTTGGCTAGTCTGGCCAGCCAATGAGCCTGGGATTCCAGGTGCATGCCCCATGCCTGTTTTTTTTGTTTGTTTGTTTTTGTTTTTTTTTTAACATGTGTTCTGGTATCAAACTGAGATCATCATGGTAGGCACTTTACCGATGAACCATCTCCCAGCCCAGGAAACTGTTCTAATGTTGAAAGATATTTGATGTCTCCATTTTAGGAGGCTCAGGTGCTTGCTCAAATTATACAGGAAGTTCCTAGCCTAGAACATTCTTGATGAGAACCAGTTGTTCTTCCAACCAGGATCTTCCCCTCTACCTTACCTGCCTCAGCATCTAAATTTGGTTGAAACGTCCTTGGACTCTCTGTCCCTCAGTCAAGAAATCTGGGAGGATTGGGGCGTAGCTCAGTGGTAGAATGCTTGCAGTGTGCCACGACCCTGGATTTAATCCCCACAGAGAAAGAGGAAAAGCAAAGGGCATTACGTACATTTGAATATGTATATATGTGACTTATAAAAGATTGTATATGTGTCTGTGTGTGTATGTGCGTGCATATGGGTGCAGCTGCACGTGGAGACGCAAGCACGTGGTGACCAGAAGTTAACCTTACATGGTGTTTCTCGGGATTGTCCATCTTGTGTCTTCTGACAAGGTCCTTTACAGACCTGGAACTTGCCTGGTCAGGCTGGCTGGACACTGAGCTCCAGGAATCTGCCTGTGCCCCCCCCCCCCCCCCCCCCCGCCCACCCAGTGCTGGTAGTACAAGCCTTGGCCTCCATGCCTGGCCTTTTCGTGTGTATTTGGGGGATCAAAGGCAGGACATCATGCTTATAGGGCAAGAACTTTACCTATGAAGCCATCTTGCAGCCCCGCGACTTATGAAAGATTTACCATCCGACAGCAAAAGAGACACTTTCGTGTGTCGTGTGGAACCCGATATGCTTAATTTATAACAATACTTAGAAGTATTTGCCTACTAGAATTGTAAATCTCACAACCAGCTTACCATAAAACTCCAAAGTGTTTATCTAAGATAAACATTTAGTTGCTATTCAGCAAATATTTGGTAACGTCCTTCCCCAAGCCAAGCACTTGCAGTTCGCTCCAGCCCTGGCTTTTGACACTCTGCTTCCTTCTTGTTTTTTTCTTTTCTTTCTTTTTTTTTTTTCTTTCTCCTTTGGTCACAATCCCAGCCATGTGAGGTACCCAGTTCCTGTATGTGCCAAGAAACCCACGTGATGGGTTATCAGCGCCTCTCAAGAGCATGCAAGAAAAGGGCACGACCTTTATTTCGGCTTCCTCTGGTCTTTGAGGACAGTCACAGTGACTGTCAAGGTCTGGAGCATGACGACTGCCCCAGCCCCCAGGCAGGGGCCGGCACATCCTCCGTGTGCCCAGATCCCGTTTTGTGCCCTCCTTAGAAAGCATTTATATACTCTACTCAAAATCAGAGTTGCATTTATTTGTTTTTAACAGAAATGGCAATACTAAAAAAATAAATAAATTTAGTGTGCAAGAGATGTATAAGCAGATAAAGAATAGAATTGAAGTTATCAGAAAAATATACACAGGACTTACTTATGAATGGTAGGGTCTCATGTAGCCCAGGCGGGCTTCAAATCCGCTGTGTAGTAGACTACTGTAGAGGGTGACCTTGACCTTCTGCTCTGCCAGCCTCTACTTCCTGAGGGCTAGGATCATGGCTGCATGCCACCACACCTGGTTTTATTGGTGCCAAGGATAGAACTCAGGGCTCATGAAGGCTAGGCGAGCACCACAGCCACTCAGTGACATCTCTAAGCCTTATTTTTATTTTCCGTTTGGTGCGGAGTCCTCTTGCATGCCACACAAACATCCCATCCCTAAGTGACGTCCCCAGCCTAGAGAAGATATGCTCTAAATGAAACAAATTCCCTCTTATTCTGTGGGAATGTATTTCTCATAGAACCAGTGGCCAGCCAGTCTGCTGAAACAGACTTGTAACCTCAGCTACTCAGAAGGCTGAGGCAGGAGGATCACATGTTCAAGGCCTGTCTGGGCTACAGAGTAAGGTCAAGACCAGTGTGGGCAACTTAGTGAGACCCTATCTCAAAACGGTAAAAAGACTAGATCGATTGGACTTTTGGCTAATATCAACCATGAAGAGGACGGGCAGTGTATAGCTCAGTGGTAACTCGGCTGGCGTGCCCGAGGCCCAGGGTTCAGTTCCTAGCAAGGTAAGGGCAAAGGCGTGCACACACGCGTGCACACACACACACACACACACACACACACACACACACACACACACACCACAGTCACCAGTGTTTCCCTTTTGCACACTTGGTGCAGGAGAGCATGGTGTGGTCTCAGGGCTGCAGGTGCTACACTGGTGTTCAGAGGCCAGGATTCCTTGTAAGCGCAACTGAAAGCGTTTGTGCCTGAGTCTCCTTTGCAAACAGCGAGGGGGCGTTGATGTTTACTTCCGTGGGATAACTCTAAAGAAGCCAGAAAACAAGACATATGACATGCCATGGAGAGTGCCCAACATACCCAAATCACTGCCATGGAGAGTGCCCAACATACCCAAATCACTGTCGCTGGAGTTTTTATGGTTAAAGAAGACCTGATAAGCTAGGTTCAGCCACCCGGCCTCAAATACATCAGTTAACGAGATGCATAATAGTGAAAAGTAGAGGTTTATTCAATATGGCTACATTGGAAAGAAGAACAAATGAAGAGGTCCAGGGACCCCAAAGTCCACTTTCAGCGTCCTGGTATAAGGGTTCATGATTTTTAATTTTTTTGTTTTAATTATTATTATTATTTGGGGGGGGTGTTTCGAGACAGGGTTTCTCTGTGTAGTTTTGGTGCCTGTCCTGGATCTCGCTGGCCTCGAACTCACAGAGATCCGCCTAGCTCTGTCTCCCAGAGTGCTGGGATTAAAGGCGTGTGCCACCACCGCCCGGCTTGTTTTAATTGTTTTTATGTTATGTGAAAGGGTGTCCTGACTGCATGCACCTCTGTGCACCACGTGCATGCAGTTCTCGCAAAGGCCAGAAGAGGGCATCATATCCTCTGGGACTGGAGTTAGAAATGGCTGTGAGCTGCCATGTGCGTGCTGGGAATTGACCCCAAGTTCTCTCCAAGAGCAACTAGTGCTCTTAACCACAGAGCTATTTCTCCAGTTTCTGAGGTTTATGTTTAAATAGGGGCTATGCATAGCTAAGAAATCTCAGTCAATTCTGAGACTTGGGGGGGGGGTGACTTCCAATTCCACGGAGACCATTGTTTCTATAACCTCACAGCTGAAGGGAGAGCACAAGTGTCTCTCTTTAGTATATCTTGGCTCCCGCCATGCCAGTGACACAGGGCAGCTGGATCTCGACTGTATGAGGGTACTCTGAGGGAGGGGAAGGCTTGGGCATATATGCATGGAAATGACGCCATTCTATATCAAGCTTGAGCCCTAATGCAAACAATGACTGGTGTTCTTACAAGAGGAGGGGCCTAGAGAGACATGAGAGGGCTAGAGATACTTTCTTTCTTTTTTTTAAAGATTTATTTATTACGTATACAGTGCTCTATCTGCATATACACCTGCAGACCAGAAGAGGGCATCAGATCGACAGATCTCATTACAAGTAGTTGTGAGCCACCATGTGGTTGCTGGGAATTGAACTCAGGACCTCTGGAAGAACAAGCAGTGCTCTTAACTGCTGAGCCATTCCTCCAGCCCCTAGAGACACTTTCTATTGCTGTGTGACAAGGAATCTGGAGTCACCAGGTACTAGAAATGACAGGAAGGGGCGTTTCCAAGAACCTTTGGAGGGAATGAAGTCCGGCCCACACCTGGATTTTTAACTTCTGCTCTCCAATGAGACAGGACAGAAAGACAGGGGTATGATGGGGACAGGAGAACGGAAAGGAGTCTCATCCAGGAGCCTGCTTGAAGGCTCCCTCCAGCTAGGAAGTCAAAATTCCAGCACCATTAGCCACATTTCCTTAAGACCTTTCTCCCTTCCCAGCTGTGACCTGCAACTTTCCAGGAATCTCAGACCAGACACTCCATTATGGTAAAAGTTACGTCCTAAACCTTGTGCAACCCTAGTGCTTCCTGGATTTTCCTTATCAGATTACGACTCCACGCAAGTCCTCTGCAGCCACTTATCAGGAAGAAGAGGGTGGGGATATGCTCAGCTGGTAGCAGGTTTGGCTGCCACCATCATGAAGCCCTGAGTCCAGGCTTCAGTACCATAAACTGTGCGTGGTGCACAGCTGTAATCCCAGCGCTTGGCAGGTCAAGGTCAAGGCAGGAGGGTTAGAAGTTCAAGGTCATCCTTGGCTTCATAGAAGGCCACATGAGACTTTGTATCAGAGAAAGAGGGAAGGGAGGGAAGAGAGAGAGGAGAGAAGAGAGAGAGAGAGAGAGAGAGAGAGAGAGAGAGAGAGAGAGAGAGAGAGAATACCTTTAGCAAGCCTTTGAGATGTAACTTGAGAGTCACCAAAATGGTAAATGTGGCTATTGCCAGGACACTTACTTGTTTCTCCCCCTTAAGAAGCTGTATTAGTTACTCTCGGTTGCTATGGTAAAACACCATGACCAAGGCAACACAGAGAAGAATTTCTTTGGGCTTATGGTTCCAGAGGGACAAGAAGGTTCCATTGTGATAGAGAAGTGTGGCAGCAGGCAGCAGCTGGAGCAGGAAGCTGAGAGTTCACGTCTTTAACTGTGAGCATGAATCAGAGAGCAAATTGGAAGTAGGCAAGGCCTTTAGTCTCAAAGCCCTCCACAATGATGTACTTCCTTCAGGAAGGCTGCACCATGGCGTCCCCAGGGCTTCAGCCTTTTCTTTCTCCAATGTCTCAGTTAACTTTTCTATTGTTGTGAAGAGACACTAAGGCAATTTATAAAGGAAAGAGTTGGGGGTTGGGGATTTAGCTCAGTGGTAGAGTGCTTGCCTAGCAAGCGCAAGGCCCTGGGTTCGGTCCTCAGCTCTGGGGGGTGGGGGTGGGGGTGGGGGTGGGGGGTGGGGGTGGGGTGGCAGGGGGAAATAAAAAATAAAGGAAAGAGTTGATTGGAAGCTCACCCACACTCAGAGGGTGAGCCCATGACCATCATGGTGAGGAGCATGGCAGCAGCAGGCAGGCAGGCATGGTGCTGGAGCAGGAGCTGAGAGCTCACATCTGATCACAAGGCCAAGGCAGAGAGAGCTAACTGCGAGTGGTGGGGGTTCTTGAAACCTCAAAGCCTCTTGTGTCCCCCCTCTGGTGACACACTTCCTCTGACAAGGACACACCTCCTAATCCTTCCCAAAAAGTTCCACCAATTGGGGAACCATGTATTCAAATTATGCACCTATTGGGGGGGGGCGCATTTTCACTCAAACCATAATACCTTAGGTACGAGATTTCCTGGGCAATTTCAATTCCTTAAGGTCCATTGTTTCATCAGCCTGATGGCCGGAAAGGAGGGGCTTGAGAACATTTTCCCTTCTGCCTGTATGACAACATTACTGGCTCACGTGGCTCCACAATCACACTGTAATTCTTCCTCTTTCCTGCTTAGACCCCTTTTCTCGGGAGTCCCACAAACCATCTATTTCTTACACTCCCTCCTCTGGTCTCAGACTCCAGTTTCTGGCTTTGCTCCCAATTTCATGAAGGAGTTAGCAACACTCAGGAGAGAGCTCCCACGCTGGGGATGTAGCTCAGGGTTGGGTGCTTATGTAGCACCCCCAGTAGGAAGGAGAAGGAGAGGGAGAGGGAAGAAAGAAAGTGGAGAAAGGGGGGAATGAGAGGGAGGGGTAAGAGAGGGAGTGATATCTGTCCTAGCACCTTTGTGTCCCCTTCTATGGGTGACCAGTCCAATCCAATAGGGACTGTCTCCCCTCACCTATCACCCCTCCCCCTGCCCTGCTGAATCCTATCACTTTACAAGTGATCTGGTATTTGCCCACATTAAACAAGCAAGCAAGCCTGGACACTGTTCCTTCCATCTCTACATGGACAACTGTTTCGTTTTCTTGTTTTCAGTGTGTGTGTGTGTGTGTGTGTGTGTGTGTGTGTGTGTGTGTGTGTGTACGTACACGTGCATGTTTGCACTTGCATGCATTTGTCAGTGTGGAGGACAGAGGTTGAAGTTCGGTGTCTTCCTTGATTTCTCTCTCTCTCTCTCTCTCTCTCCCCCCCCCCCACCCCTCTTCTAAGTCAGGGTTTCTCTGTGTAACCCTGTCTGTCCTGGAACTCTCTCTCTGTAGACCAGGCTGGCCTCAAACTCAGAGATTCACCTGCCTCTGCCTCCCAAGTGCTGGGATTAAAGGCGTGTGCCACCACTCGGCTCCATCTTATTTTTAGAGACAGGGTCTCTGGTTTAACTTGGGTCTTATCCATTTGGCCAGGCTGGCCGGCCAGTGAGCTCCAGGGATCCCCGTTTCTGCCTCTCTAGTTCTGGGGTCGCAGGTGCACCCCGCCTTGTCTGGCTTTTATGTGGGTGATAGGATGCAGACTCAAATCCTCATTTTACTGGCTGATCCAGCAGCTCCTCCTCCCTCCCTCTTTTTTGGTGACAGGGTCTCGTGTAGTCCAGGCTATCCTTGAACTTTCTATGTAGCTTAGGATGATCTTGAACTCTTGATTCTCCTGCCTCTACCTCCCACATGATGGGATTTTAGAGGTATGACGCAGCACCACACATGGCTCCTCTCTCTAGTCTTTTCTCTGGTCAAATGTCTCCTTCCAAACTAGCCACTCCGCACACTGGGGGGCAGCTACAGCTCACCCCCTGTCCTGACTCCCCATCTCCTTGAGCCTGTTCATTCCCACGGCATCACCTCTTAGTAACTCTGTCCCCAGCTCATTACATCAGCTCCAAAAGCAGGTGACTGTGTCCTTTCAACCTGCACAAACCAACACAACAATCAGGTGCTCCCGTGGTGCTGGCACCTGAGCGGATTCACCATGAACAGATCAGGTGCTCCCGTGGTGCTGGCACCTGAGCGGATTCACCATGAACAGATCAGGTGCTCCATGGTGCTGGCACCTGAGTGGCTTTGACTATGAAATGTCCCAGACCTTTCAGCAGCAGGGTGGTATCAAACCAGCTGTGGTGTTGTGTGCCTGGAATCCTAGCACTGGGGAAATGGAGACAGGAGCATCAGGAGTTCAAGGTCATCCCTTGTTAGAGGGTGAGTACAGGCCAGCTTGGGCTACAGAAGACCCTGTCTCCAAACTACCATTCCCCCTGACACACACACCCACCCACCCACACACACACACACACTCACACACATGCACGTGCACACACACAGCTGGCTGGAGAGATGGCTCTAGTGGTTAAGAGCACTGGCTGCTCTTGCAGAGGACCTAGGTTCAGTTCCCAGCACTCACATGGTGGCTCACAACCATCTATAATTCCAGTTCCAGGGGATCTAACACTCTTTTGGCCTTTACAGGTACCAGGCACACATGTAGCGCATGGGTACACATGGGGAAAAACAGTCATACATATAAATACATAAATTTAGACCAAAACACCATAAAAAGGAGGAGGATGTTCCCAACACCTGCTTAGACTCTCCCAGCTTTTATTAGGCATCACTTAGGGAATGGGCTCGGTGAAAAACTGGACCTGTCTGGCTCTTCCCCCGAACACAGCTTTGCCTTTGTGCACAGCCAGGTGCTAGCCCTCTGTCTATTACTATCTAAGCCACAATCATGAGCATCCTATCAACAGTTTGGTACCTCTCCTCCTAGAAGCTGCCAAGTCTTTTCATTTCGGGTGGGATTTTGCTGGCCTGGAATTCTAGATCCTCCTGCTTCAGCCTCCTGAGTGCCGGGTTGCAGGTACATACCGCCACCCCTGGAAAGGTCAACAGACTTTAACAGGTACCTCTCATTTTCCTTTCTTCCCAGTTTCTCCCTGGCCTTCGCTGCTGCCTGTCATTTTCTCATCCATCTGTCACCAGGCTTCACTCTGCTCAGCTTCAGAGATTCAGGGCGGTTATGGCTGAGGACACTGATTATCTTCCAATGTGCAAATCTGATGCTCACCCCTGTTTAAACACTTAGTTCCGAGGTGGTGGTGGTGCACACCTTTAATCCCAGCACTTGGGAGGCAGAGGCAGGTGGAGCTCTGTGAGTTCAAGGCCAGCCTGGTCTACAGAGTGAGTTCCAGGACAGCTGTTACACAGAGAAACCCTGTTTGAAAACAAAACAAACAAACCAACCAACCCCAAGCCCGTGCAGTCCCGCAGTCAGATCCTTCAAGGTACTTCCTCTATTCTAGTGTCATCGACTTCCCTGAATAGGGAGGGCCTCCACCTTTGCCTCTTGGGGACCCTTTCTGGCCACCCCAGATGACTTAGTATCATAGCATGGAACTGCCTGCTGTTGATCTTTTGGGATTGTACCTTGTGCTCCTTGGAAAGCTCTTGTCTGCCTGGGAGGTTCTTGTTCTGGTCCCGAGGGTCACTCCCATGGCTTCCTCTAGACACTGATCCCGGGTTCCTGGGATACCCAGGCTCGTGGATTCCTTGTGTGCCATCTCCGTCCCTTCACTTCACTGCAGTGTCATTTCACTCGCTGGCTCCCTACGGGACTGCTGTTTGGCGTCCCATTCAGCGTTGTGTTTTCCATGGAAAGCTGTGGGCTAGCAGGTACACATCCACGGACAGCTGTGGGCTAGCAGGTACACATCCACGGACAGCTGTGGACTAGCAGGCACACATCCACGCACACATCCACGGACAGCTGTGGGCTAGCAGGTACACATCCATGGACAGCTGTGGGCTAGCAGGCACACATCCAGGAACAGCTGTGGGCTAGCAGATACACATCCACGGACAGCTGTGGGCTAGCAGGCACACATCCAGGGACAGCTGTGGGCTAGCAGGTACACATCTAGGGACAGCTGTGGGCTAGCAGGCACACATCCACGGACAGCTGTGGGCTAGCAGGTACACATCCATGGATAGCTGTAGAGGGCTTTGTTGGTAAGTGGCATTCTTCAAGGCTACACTGGGAAATTCCAAAGCCCTCATCCCCCAACTCCAGCATTCATGAGACAGAGTCCTTAAGCAGAGGCACTCCCAGGGAACCAGAGGTTCTCGTTTTCTGTGGGGTTGGATCAGCAAACATGGGCCTGTGAGAAAAGAAAATTGACCTCAAATTGAAGTCTACCAAGGTGTATGGTGTCTGATAGGAAAGGGCTGGAGAGGGCAAGGGACTGTACGGAGTGTCCGAGGTCGGCAGGATGGCTCAGTGGGTAAAGGCATTTGCTAAGCAAGCCTGGTGGCCTGGGTTTAGTCCCCGGAACCCACATAAAGGTAGAAGGAAAGAAGTGTCCACAAACTGGACCTTTGACCGACATTCATATACCATAGGGGATGCCCCCCGCTCCCCGCATCATTCACACAACAGTAATGAATACTAATTTTTTTTTTTGGTTTTTCGAGACAGGGTTTCTCTGTGTAGCTTTGCGCCTTTCCTGGAACTCGCTTTGTAGACCAGGCTGGCCTCGAACTCGCAGAGATCCATCTGCCTCTGCCTCCCAAGTGCTGGGATTAAAGGTGTGCGCCACCACCGCCCGGCCTAATTTTTTTTTTTAATGAAGCAGTCACCACCTGGGAGGTCACAGGGGAGCAGCCTGAGATGAACCCACTTCTCATGATGATAAGGGTTGGTGCTGCATCCCAGGCTCCCCTGGAGAGGAGAGGGGTTACACTGCTGAAGCCTTTGGGCTCTATCTTGCCCCCCACCCCGCGAGCTTCAGCCCTGCTCCTTCCAAAGTCCTTAGCCATGTTCCATCAGCCAAATTCTTTTGTTGTTGAGACAAAGTCTCAAGTAGCTCAGACTGGCTTTGATCTTGCCGTTTAGCCAGGGATGGCCTTGAATTTTGGACTCTCCTGTCTCCAGCTCATGAGTGCTAGGATTACAGGCTACCTTGAGCTACCTTGCCTGGTTAATGCAGTGTTGGGGATGGATCCCAGAGCTTCATGCATGTTAGGTGATGGCTCTACCAACTGAGCTACACATCCAGCCTCATTGGGTTTCTTTTTGAGACAGACAGTCTCAACATGTTACTCAGGATGGCTCTGAACTCCCAGTTCTCCTTCAGAGTGGCACTAGATACACATGCCTGTTCATCCAAGAGCACACACACACACACACACACACACACACACACACACACACACACACACAACTTCACTCTTGTCCTTGATGTCCTCTCTCTCTCTCAAGACAGGGTTTCTCTGTGTAGCCCTGGCTGTCCTGGAACTTTCTGTATAGACCAGGCTGACCTCGAACTCACAGAGATCCACCTGCCTCTGCCTCCCAAGTGCTGGGATTAAAGGTGTGCGCCACCACTGCCCAACCTCGATGCCCTCTCTAATGTTTATTGGTCAAGGGATTGGCCGGCCTCTCAGTTCTCCTCATGAGATGTTGGGGAAATGACCAGTGCAAAACCAAGAGGAAAACAGGAATGGGCTTGGAAGAACTCAACACGTGAGGAAGGGATGTGAGTTTATTAATCACCCAGATGTGGATCCTGTGTGTACACACCAGGAACAGACTAGACAAGATGCGCTTGGTGGTACAGTAGTAGCAAGTCTGTTGTTATAGGGGTAACCAGTCACTCTCTGATGGGCTGCTTCAGGGGAAGGACTCCTCACTGGTACCATAGACTGGGTCAAAGCCATGGCTAGGGATGACAGAGGCCCTAGCAGAGAAGTTCCCTCTGTTAATTTGCTAAAATGAAAGTAATTAAAGAATAGCAGCACAGGATTATAATCCCACTGTGGGCAGATTATAGGCGTATCACAAATTCAAAATAAATAAATACAAACTGAATCTCTGAGAAGTTGTAGTTACCAAACGTGGGTCAAAACACAGATCACATAGAAAAGGACAGGAGGTGGGAAGTGTCACCAAAGCAAGACCCTGGAAACACACAGGCAGCAAACGGGAAGGGTTCTAAGTGTTCCAACATTCCTTTTTGGTTTGGTTGGTTTTGGAGACACAGTCTCCTTGACACATGGTCTCACGGAACTCAGGCTGGCCTTGAACTTGCTGTGCATCAGAGGATGTCACTGAACTCCTGGTCCTCTTGAGTCAGCTCCCAAGTGCTGGGATTACAGGCATGCACTGCCGTACCTGGTTTATGGAATGCTGGAAATGGAACCCATGGCTTTATTCATGCCAGGCAAGCACTCTTATCAACCAAGCTACAGGCACAGATCCCAATCTGCCTTACTAACCAACTTAACTAACCAAGCATCATGCTTGGGACTACTTCAACCAGAGGCATGACAGTAGCCATGTGGAGACTGCACCCCTGCCCCTCCCCGTGGGTGGTGATCCTGGCGCTGGGGGCGGGGAGGGGGAGAATTTGAGGGTTTAATACAGTGATCAGGAGCCGGCAAGGTGGTCCATACTTTGGGAGGCAGAGGCGAGAGGATTAAGAGTTCCAGGCTCCATAGTAGTGAGGTCGAGACCAACCTGGGATGCGTGAGCCCACAAACAAAAGGGGAAGGGGGTGATGGGGGCGAGTGGCCGTTGGCGAGATGGCCCAGCGGGTGAAGGTGTCTGCCGCTGAACCTGACAACTTATCTATCCCAGGACCCATACGGTGGAGAGCAGGAACCCACTCTCTGACTTCCAATGCATGCCCACTCATATAAACACACATACCCCCAAATAAATGTAACAACCGTTTTTTTAAACAAAAATTTTAAAAAGATCAGGAGCAAGGTGTCAGGACTTCCCTGGAAGCCCTAGAGTCTACGAGGGGCGGGACTGAGTGAGGACAACGCACCACCACCACCGCCGGCCGCCGAGGCGTCTTTAAGACGCCCGCTCCAGGCCCCGCCCACGGCCCCGCCCCGCCCACGTGACCCCGGTCTTGTGACCGGCAGGAGGGCGGGGAACCCTTGGCGCGCCCGCCCCGCCTGGCGCGCGCCTTACAGGGCCGAGCTGCTGGGGACACCGCCGTCGCTGCCGCCACCGCCGTCCCCGCCGGGCCGAAGGGAGCGAGCCGGGCCGGAGCTGGCGGGCGCGCGGCCCCGGGGGCCGCCATGGACCACAAGCCCCTGTTGCAGGAGCGCCCGCCCGCCTACAACCTGGAGGCCGGCCAGGGCGACTACGCGTGCGGCCCGCACGGTTACGGGGCCATCCCCACCGCGCCCCCGCCGCCGCCCTACCCCTACCTCGTCACAGGTGGGCCCGCGGCTCGGCGGGGGTCCCCGAGCGGCCTTCTGGCTGAGCACCGCGCTGTCCCGGCGCAGGCCTGCAGGGGCAGCTGCTGCTGCTGCTGCTGCCTGGAGCGCCCTGCCCGGCCGGGCCCTGCCCCGGTGGCCGTGAACTTTGTGTCGGAGGGTTTGCACTTGGCTTCTCGAGCCCACCCGCAGGGCGCGCTCAGCCCAGTTGGAGGCGGGGAGGACCGGGGATTAGGGGGAGGGAGGAGGAGGGCCGAGAACGCCCGGTGCTGATCTGCGCTCCGCTCCCACAGGGATCCCCACCAGCCACCCCCGGGTCTATAACATCCACAGTCGAACGGTCACCCGGTATCCTGCCAACTCCATCGTCGTGGTTGGAGGCTGCCCGGTCTGCAGGTGAGTCTTCAGCCTAGGGGTGGTGGTGGCGGCGGCGGCGAACGCACGTGCCGGGATCTTGCAAAAGGCCAGCGGGGGTGGGATGGGGTGGGGTCACAGCCGGGATCCCGTCTTAGAGGGAGTCCCGCATGGGAGGGACTGCAGTGGGAGAAAGGTGGGGTCACACACCCCTGGCTCTGAATTTACTTTATGCGGCAGAAGGATGGGTTCCCTTTTTCTGTGGGGAGTTGAGTGCATTTGGGAGGCATGGCACCCCGAGTGCGTGGGACGCAGGAATGTTAACAATGGAGACTGATGGTCTTTTCCTCCCTGGTTCTGGGATCCGCAGCGAATCAAGGTTTATTTTGGTTTTTCGTCCAGTTTCCGCTAGTGTACTGTTACAGTTGAGTCTTATTTGGGAGGTACTGGGACTTGAGTCCGCTGGCCAGTATGCCTGAGGACTTGGGAGATCCAAGTAGCCAGGAGAGTAAAGGCCGTGAGGGTGCAGAATGCAGACTAGGGCTTAACAACTCCGGGCCACTAGCTGGCCCAGGAGGAAACCCCGTGCTTCTTTGTTCCGGCCTGGAGTGGTTTTTTTTTTTTTTTTTTTCATATCCTCAAACTGGAGCTGACAGAAACTTTGTGAGGACTTTATGTAAGGCAAGAGATGCAGCCAGGCTCGTTTTAGGCAGGCTTTGAGGAGTCAGCGTCCAAGTAAGACTTGGCCACTCACTCAGATGCGCAGGGCAGGGCTTCAGCCTTTGTCTGGGAGGAGGAAGTTCAAGTCTACGAGATGGGATTAAGAAACCCTTGTTTGGATTTAGACTTTATTTCAAAAGTGTGTTTCAGAGGCGCGGAGTGGAGCCATAGGGAAGTTAATGATTTCAGAAACTCGGGAGTGGCTTCACAGATGACCGAGGGTGGAAGACACTGACTGGACCCTCAGAGCTGATCGTGTGCGCGGTGACGGAGAGTGAGTGCTGGTTAGAGTCCTCATTCAGGGACCCCAGTGCAGACTCAAGGCGCTGTCCGGCGCTCTTGGTGGGTCATTGCCCTGCTGACTTGGTCTTTGGAGCTGGTGGAGGAGAGAGGGGCAGAGGGTAGGAATCAGCTGCTCCCTCCAACTGTAGACGGGCTCTCCGATAGCTTAGTCTTGCTGACTCCTCCAGAGGGCGGTTCAATGCAAGAGTTCCACCTGAGGGTTTGAGGCACACCGGGTAGACAAGAGGGAGTACCAACTCGGGGGTGGTTCTGGTGTGTTGAGCAAGGGCATCAGTATAGGGTCCCCTGTGCAGAGAGCCTTTGGGGAGTGGGGAGTTGCATGGAGATGGGAAATGGGAAGCCTTCCTGTTTGGTGTTGAGGCTAGTCCCTGGGGGCCTCAGAGCCCTATGGATGGGGCAAACATTAGATGATCTCTCAAGTTTAAGGAGAGGTGTTAGGCAGGCAGGCAGGCAGGCTGGCTGGCTGGCTGGCGGGAGAATGGAGAGAGGCATAGCACTGGAGGAGCCTCTAGTATTTCATGTCTCTCTGCTTTGTCCAGCAGTGAGCTGGACGAGGAACTGGATCCAGATCCTGGCCCTACCACGTGCAGCTGTTTTTTTCTCCATCAGTGGACAGGGGTGTTCCCGTAAGGCTCTTGGCCCAGACCTCTGAGCTCAGAGAAGTGGGGAGGGGAGACCAGCAGCAAGGTAGTATGGCTGCTAGAGCCTGGGAGTCAAGGTAGTCCAAACCCAAGAGCTGTGGAGTGTCCAGCTGCAGTCTGGGTTACTGAGAACACTTTCCCTGGGACGTGAGTTGTGTGGTTCCGCAGGCTTGTGGCTTCTCATGGGGCCCTTCAGTGCTGCAGAATCTGGGACAAGGTCAGGCTGTGTCCGCCGCCCTCTCAGGAAGGTCTTGGGCTCTTGTGGGTGCTTCCTTCTTTGGGGACTCATAACTGCTACTGAGTGGAGGCATCCAGCATTCAGGAAGCTGGGTTCTCTGAGGACAACTTTTGTGGGTGCCTGATCCTTAAAGTGGTGACCACTCTTGGATCTTCCCAGGCCACTTGTGTCCTGGCTGGGAGGAACAGGCTGTTATGCGCACACCTGGGACCCCTGCAGGCTGTTCACAGTGCCCTCTGCTGCCAGCCCCTGGCTCCAAGGCTGATTCCTATTATAAAAGCAGGCATGCAGGGTGTGGGGCTCCCTCTCCCAAGCAGGGGGCGGGAGGTAAGTATGGAGTGGGCAGCACAGGAAGGGGTGGCTGGCTTTACCTTTGGTTTAGGGAGTGGGTGTGTGTGTGTGTGTGTGTGTGTGTGTGTGTGTGTGTGTGTGTGCGTGCTCCTAGGGTTGGGACAGAGATGTTCCCCTGGAAAGATTGAGTCTGCCCCTGCCTAGCCTGTTAGGGCTGAGAGATAGGACACATCTCATGTGACCAGACTTTCTCCCTTCCAGATGTAGCCTGCCAGGCCCTGTCCCTTCCCTCCCTAGTGGCTTGGCAGGACTCTGCCCAAGTCACACGTCTGTGATTCCCTCCGAGTGAGACTTGGCAAAAGAGGCCGGTGTCGCTTGTCACTTTGCCATTCTGTCTGAGTCGCAGTTAAGCAGCCTGACTCCATCTTCCCTTTATAGACATTTGCGAGAAGCGATTCTCTCCTCCCCAGTGGATGAACCAGGCCCTTGCTGGGCTTCTTCCAGCCTTCCTTAAGGTTTTTCTGCCCCACCTGCAGCAAGCAGGGTATCCACAAAGGTCCTGTGTCTCTGAGGCTGGCGCCTTTCCAGGGCTGTGGGTTGACCTTAGATACAGGGCAGGTGAGGCTGCTCGGTGTGCCCTGGGAGCACAGGTCACAGCTGGAATGTGCATGCACAGGGTGAGTGGCACGGCTGTGAGTGCAGAGCTGGCAGGCACCGGCTCCTCGTGAGTATTGGCTGGGTTGTTACCCGGTATTTAGTTCTGGAGGTGACCAAAGAGACAGGAAGAAATCCAGGGGAGGGTGGAGTCTGGATACAGCCCTGGTATAAGGGTTGCTGTTATGAAAGCCCGTGTGGGCTGAGGTGGGTTTGGGTGATATAGAGAACGTGAGGTGGCAGAGAGTCTGGAGAAGATGGGGTAGTGGCAACCTTGGGTTTCTAATAATGGTGGGTGATGGAAGGGCTGTTCTGCCCCTTCTGTGTCTGAGGAAGGAGGTGAAGGAGCTGGCCGTGCCAGGCAGGAGCTAGAGGCCGGTGTCCTGGCTGTGTGCTGGACAAGGCATGCAGTCTGAAGGAGGCCTGCTTTTGTCTCCCAGTCCTATCTGGGGCCTACCAGCTCTGGCAGTGTGGGATGGCACAAATCTGAGTGGTGGGCCTGAGGGCACATGCCTTGCCCTCTTTTCCCCCCACTGTGAACACTTGAGGTTAGGCCTGACAGTTGGGCTTTTGAGACCTGTGCTTAGGTGGCAGGATATTTTGGGGGAGGTCCTGGTGAACTGCCCACATCAGGGTGGTGCTCTCTGCCATGTGGGGATGCTCTGTGGAGTGGAGACTGTTGTCTGGTGGCTCTGTTGGGAGCTTTCACTCAGTCAGTAGCTGGTGGAGGAAACCCTTGCATCCTTTTCCTGGGGATGTTGTCCTTCCAGTTCTAGGAATGTTGCAGGTGGCTCCTAGGGCTGGATGGTGCCTCGGGGCTCCCAGGCTTGGGAGTAATACTTGAACATCCGGAGGGCTGGGGCCAGCTTGGATCCCTGCCACACTTCCACAGCTGTATGGCCTCCTGCAGCTCCGACCTCATCCACCTGTAAGAGGGGGCCAGGCTGTACTGATGGAGTGGGGTTCTGTAAGGACACAGGACGGGTCAGGATAGTCCTTTCTGGCTAAGTACTTGGCCCTTGGGACCTTCCAGGGTTGCGAGTCTTCCTGCAGCTCAGAGCTTCCCTCTCCCTTCCTCCGTCCACTTACCTCCTGCGACCACCCTGTCTGGCAGATGTCAGGGTTGAGTGACTGCCTGTTTGTGGAGGCTCCAGTTAGGGGTTCAAGAATAAAGGCTTTCGAAGTTAGTTATTTTCCTAATTCCCTGGGCTGTTTCCTCCCCTTTCCGTGTGACTGGGTAAGGGTGGAGGAGGGGCCATCCAGGTGCTGCCAGGAGGCCCAGCTTTGGGTTCTGAGCCAACTGAAGAGTTGAAACCTGTCCTGGAGCTCCAGGGAGGCTGCAGAGGAAGAGAAGGTGAGGCTGTGGGGACAGGCAAGCTGGACGGCAGCAGCTGTTCTCTTGGGCAGGGTCTTCACTTAGTGCCGTTACCACCTCAGTAGCCTGGAGCATTTGGTTGAATATAAATTGACTTAGAGGCCATATTGTGTTTCTGGAGTCAGACGTTGGCTTTTAGAACTAAAACTTTTGCCAATGTTCCCTTTGAGATCTGGGGCAGAACTGAAGTTAAAATGTTAGTATTTTTGCAGCAAGATGTGAATCTTCATGTTAAGTGGCTATATTAAGACTATAAATAGGCTGGGCAGTGGTGCACGTTTTTAATCCCAGCACTTGGGTGGCAAAGGAGGGTGGATCTCTGTGAGTTTGAGGCCAGCCTGGTCTACATAGAGAGTCAGGGCTATGTAGAGAGCCTGTCTAAAAAAACAAGCAAACAACAAAACAGAGACTGTAATCTCCTCATACACATTCACATCAGGCTGCATCCAGGTTGGGCTTACTCCAAATTTGGGGAAAGTTCTGCTTTGGGCATTTGGAATTGTGGGTTGAGGGACAGGGATCCTGGGGCATGAGTTCCCTCGCTTACAGCTAAAGATAGAGGGCTGGAGCAGGTCTCTCTTCCCCATCCCTCTAGTTCACTGAAGCCTGCTTAGAACTTGGGTTCAAGTTGTTTTTGTGGGATGAGGATATGTGAGTCTCCAGTCACAGACTTCTGGTTGCTGGCAGGTGTCCAAAAAAACCTTAGGTGAC